AAGAGTTGCGATTACATCTTATTAAGTACAACTTGGCGCCACACATTCATGGAGGTCCTCAGAGCAGGTGGGAAGAAGCTTCAGACATTACCAGTGACAGAATTTTGTGGAAACAGCTTGACGGTAAAAGCGCAGAACGGCGCGGGAGGATCTAAGTCAGTAAGAATAGCACATTAGGTTTTTGAAATAAAACTTTTTAATAGCAGGATAATGCACTGTAGATACCTCAGAATATGCATTTTGTTGGCTTTCTATACCAGAAATAGTGCTTGGCGTCGGGGCTCCGCTCCGCGCTGGGGGAGCTCTTAGCGCTCCCTAAGACCCCTTTGCTGGCAAAGACAGGGAGTCTACAATTTTTCCACTAACTCCAGGAAGAAATTCTAGGGCACAAAACTTCTTCCAAAAGAATGAAAGGTCAGAATGTAGTAAAGATTATGTACTCACACATGTACATATATACATATAAATATATTTTTTTGCGGGGGGGGGGGAGAAGAAAAAAATCCCCCCCACCCCCCGGAAAAAAATTCTGGCTACGCCCATGATGTCTGACCATCTGGTTTTTCCTTATTAGTGACTTAAGGCCAATAAGGTCTTTAAAAATGTTGAAATTTTTTTTTTTTCAAATAACGAAAAGCCTAAATAGGTAACACAAATAATGTCCAAGGCTAACGCAAAGATTGAGCATACATATTAGGCACAGAAATCAAATGCCAATAATGACATCAAACCAATGTGTATTTTTGGTCTGATTAGTTTTAAAAATATTTCGGTCAATGTGGGTGTCGTAATGACTACTAAATTACTGAGAAACTTTTCTAAAAATCGGTTATTATTATATGGTTATTTTCTTGTTTTTTTCTCTGGATGAAATACGCCACTTGTAATTGTGCAATGCGACACTTTTAGCGCATGCGTCATGAATTGACCACCTCTTATCTTATACAATACAGACGCTACTTCGAAAAAAAATGATGATTACATCCTACGCTTCATGCATTTAGTCATGCATGTTAGCCAATGACTTAAATTCTGCCAAGTCACTGGTTTTCCTGGCTCGCTCAGGCAACCCATTCCATGCTCTAATAGCACAAGCATTAAAGTATTTAAAGTATTTTTTTTATTACTGCTACGTTTAGATCGGCATTTATTATATTTTCTAAATCTAAAACTTAATCCAGATATTTTTAAAAAGTGTTTGCTGGTATACCCGTTGTTAAAGTGAGGGGATTATTGTTGTATTTTTTAACAAAGATCTTTCACCTTTTTTTTTTCTTGACTAGGCCTACACTTGAAATTACTAAACAAATCGGTTACAGACAAAAATCATTATTTCGATTTAAAATTGAGAAATTAAAGAAATACTATTTTTATACTTTTTTTTCGGGGGAGGAGGTATTATTTCGTTATGATCTATAATTAGAATTTTACTATTTGAATTTTAAATATAAAGAAGTTAATTTTAATCTATTAATTTTTTTTGACTTCCCGTTTGGGTTTTGCAGGGCTGATGACCTTCAATCTTTTACTATACAGTGATCGGGCGTAGCTAGTGTTAAGTGTCTCTCTATGTGATATATTTTGCAGATCACCAATCTGGATTTCGGCATGAAGGATGAAAATCCTATTCACAGATTAAGAGTGTATGAAAAAGGAAATTTGCATCAAGGATTTAAGCTAGAACAAGATCAGGTAAATATTAACATGTATAATGCCAGGTTATTTATAATCATAATCAATGAACTTAGATTTTGTAAAAATCATTAATAATAGTATGGCTTAGTTTTATGTGTATTAGAAACACATATTGTTACATTTATTTTATTCTCTTTCTCTCTTCGTCTCTCTCTCTCTTTCTTGATGTCTCTGTCACTCTTTCACATTTCTTAAAGCACTCTAAATCACTCTCTTACACTTGCTCACTCTTACATATATTATCCAATTAATTCTTTTCTCTCTATTTCTCTTTCTCACATCTCTTTGTCTTTCTCTCTCTCTTTCTCTCTCTCTCTCTCTCGACTCTAAGCACTGACGCTTTTCCTTTCTTTGTTCATGTCTTCATTTGCACTATAGATGCAAATACTAAACGTTAGAACACAGTATTCAATTTGTTTACAAGACTACATTCAATTAGTCAGAACGCATGTTCAATTGGTTACCAAGTAGTAAAGAATTAAAGTACTTTCTCATAAACAACAAATAAAACATTGCTGCAAAGTTTAATCGTCCTCATCCTCACAGAAAATCATGATCTTTGAGTTTGTGCGATTGAAAACAGGTGTCATCAAAATATATTTTTATTCGTCGATAGTAATAAATATTTAGATTTTTTCTTCTTACAGACTAGTCTTCTCTTACAAAGTATGAATTACAACGAAGTGTTGGTAAGGGTCTACACAACTTTACCAAACAAGGATGGAGGAAACGAGACAAACATCCAGTCTATTAAAGAGGCTTGTAAAAAAGAAATGCAAGAATGGATGAAAATTAAGGAAAATTAAGGTTGTTTTTCCTATTTCTCTGTGTTAGTAATTTTTTTGGATGATCGTCCTCCAACCTTCTGTATCTCTCAATAGCTTCTAATGCTGCTCTGTTGCACCTTAACTCAAGAGGTTCAATATTGGAGTCTATATATAATTTAATATATATTTTTTTTTTTTCATTTAAACTTCTGATCATTTTTGGCGACGATTTGTAAGAAAATTAAGGTAATATAGGTCGATTTCTTTTTCGAAACAAAATCCGGAACATTCTTTACCAATTAAACAACTTTTATTATGTTTCGGCAAGAAAATTAATTGTAAAATAAGTCTAAAAAGTGATTTTCAATAATCGTTTCTAGTAAATTACTTTCTTATTTTAAAATCCTGAATAACCTATTGTCGATATTTTTGAAAAAAAATTATTTGATATAAATTTGTTTTAAGTTAGAAATTCGGAACAATTGATATTGATAAATAAACTATAGTGACGTAGTGTCAAAGAATATAAGTGTAATATTAGTCAATAATGCGATTTCAAACAATCATTTGACATAATTTATTTTTTATAAAACAATATCCGGAACAACTTTATAGTTAATGAAATATAAATCAGTATAGATATTTTTATTTAGCATTTACACGCTATTTACATTAAAAAACCGGAACAATGTATTAAAGATTATGTGTTTATTGCAACGTTTAAGCATGGAAATAAAATCTAATATAAGTTAGAAGAGCAAACAAATATTCATTGGCATTGATTTGTTTTTCACAAAACATCCGAAACAATCTATTATAGATACTTAAAACTATTGCAATATTCCTGAATGAAAAAATTAAAGGTTAAATCAGATTTACAATGGCCTTTAGTGTTATTTGTTAATCTAATCGTGACGGACAGACCGACCAACAGACAAAACGCACAAAAATAAGCTTCTTTTATTCGGATGAGGGGCACTAAACAAAAAATAAATAAAATCTGATTTTTTAAAAAAGTTTAAGGAATTGGTGTAGTAGTATAGCATGTTGCGACGTTACGCTACTGCACGAAAGTCGCTGCATAAAAAGTCCATTTTAAAAAATGTGCATGATATTTACATAGAAAGTGCATTATTAGCCTTTAAAACAAACAGAAATGTTTTCTTTTAATTTTAGCAGCTAGTTGACCAGAAAAAAACATCTTTAAGTATTATTTATATTTGTTGTAAACATTTCCTGTACATTTTATAAATATATTTGACTTAGTGATACTGAAAATACACAAAAATTGTACATCTCTGTTAGCATATTGTAACATTGCCTCCCTTACATTTACGTAATTGTTTTAGAATTGGTGTATTTTTATGAAAAAATCGCTTGCATAATTAATTTTATAAATTAAACGGTTTGATTTTAGAAAACCAAAAGTAGCCGTTGCACCTAAACTTTTCAAGCCGCATTTGATGATGAAATAATATTTTTCATATCTCTTTTAGTTTTTGAGATCTGAGTGTGACAGACGGACAGACGGACATTTTGCACAAACCTAATAGCGGCTTTTTCCCCTTACGGGGGCCGCTGAAAAGGGAAAGCAATTAACAATTTAACACACTTTTTTGCCTCTAAAAAGCATCTACAAACAATGTGCAACATAGAGTCAAAACAGTGACACGGAGAATAGAACATACATACAAGTTGATATCAAACTACTACCGCCAAGTCAGGCAGTACTAAGGGTCATGGTTCCAGTCATAGTATATTTCGCTTGTTTTTCGTCATATTTTCTTAATCATCTTTTCACGGTAGTATTCATTATTTGTATTAGCACTACGCTGTAAATTTTATTTTGGATAAATATTGTAAGTATTGAACGTGTATATTTTATTTCAAATATATTAAATAATGTGAAACCTAACATACTTTTAATATATATTTTAATATATATTGTGTTAATATTATGCTATAAAACTGAGTGGTATATTGATCTATTAAAAGTTTAAAACTCTGAATTCAAACCTCTGCTGCCTTGCTTTATTATGGAAAAGGTTTTGTGAATCAGCCCTGAGGAAAAATTAGGAGTCGTAGACCCTAAAGGCAGTTTGCAGCACATAGTGCTACACCATGGCAAAGCTTGTAACGCCACTGATCAGGATCTGTATTGGGTGTCGGCACCTACTTTTTTGGGCATATAAGGGGGAACTGGGTGTGGGCTTTCTCGTTCCGACTTTAACTAATGCAAAGGCATTCATCTCATTTCTATGAGACCATCCATAGTCTCTTCGTGACTGAAGGAGGTCATTGCATTGATTTATATTTTTTTACTTCAAGATTATGATATAGGAAGAACATTTCTTTAACTACAGCCTGTGTGTATATATATGTGTGTGTATATTAAATCTATGTTTAATCCTGTTCAATGTTTTATATATTGTAAAAATTTCCCAGAGCAAGGGCGAACAACCTTTTAGCCTGAGGCAGTGGCGTCACTAAGAGGGTGTGGGTCACACTGGTTGACACCCAAAAGGGGTGGGAAAATGCTCTTTTGCAATAATATACAATTTAATGAAATAACACTGCTTCAATGTTAAAAACTGTTTTATCAAAGCTATTAAAAACATAGTTATATCAGGAGTATTACCTATAGTCAATGTTTATCAAATGATGACAGTCTTCAAGCATTACGTATTAACTATAAATAGCTTGCCTTTTGTGTATCCGTTGACCGTTGAGCACATTACAGAAATTGATAAGCTCTATGTTTTTTAAAGGTTTTTGATAAATATTTTTGTTTGCACCTTTGAGCACTGAAGAATCAAATTTTTTGCAAACGTTTCCGTTTATAGCACACAATAATTTCATTTTGGGTGGAAGCATTGGACTTCCGCTCAACGACTTAAATTTATTTTAAAAAACAAACTTGCAACTAAGAAACGATTAATATAGGAAATTTGATACAAAGATTGTTATATTATAGCTTGATTATCATACTTTAGTTGGAAACAGTGAAGTTAATTCAGCGTCAATGACCGTGTTGAGTTTATTGTGAAAATCTCCAATGGGACACGTTGAATTAAATTTTTTTTAAGAGGTTGTTTCTTCTATTTGTTTTTTGTGTGTGTGTTATTGCTGTTGAGGGGGGACGTATTTACAATTTTATAATTTCTTTGTTATTGAAAAAAAAAGCTTTTTTTTTTCAGTTTCCGAGTTTAAAGAACTAAAAAATTATCAGAATAATAGATATGTTTCAAAAAGTAGAAAGGGGTGATTTAAGTTCAAACATGGCATTAAACTTTTACAACAATTTATTATTGTTAACGTGCATATCCATATTAACAACTAGTTATTTTCTTTGATTTTTCTTGTGATGTTGTGGCACTAATTAGGCTTACCTTAATTTTTCAATCGTACTTATGTTTGGGGCTTAACAAATGATTGAAATAATTAATGTTATTATTTGATTGTTTTAAGGAATTAAAAAAAAGTTCTTTTTTTTTCTTTGTTTTTTTTTTATTTCAATAGTTAATGTTTTTCTATAAAAAAACCAACAACTCATTATTAGTGCCGTATTTGAGTAAGTTGAGGCCTGAGCTGGCTATTAGTTAAAGCACCTATTTACGTCAAGCTTCTATGTAAATACACTTCTTAATACTAATAGATCTAATAAGAACATAAAACTAAAATGTTATTTAACCTTGGTTAGGCCAATAATAGCATATGCATCCTCTGTTTGGGACCCCTCAACTCAAGAAAACATTAAGAAACTGGAACAAACACAAAATAGACGAGTGAGATTCAAAATAAACGAATATTCACATTTGACTAGAGTAACACCTTTAGTAAAATCACTAAATTTAGAAAGCATTCAGGACAGAAGACTTAAAAGTAAAGTAGCAATTATACATAAAACACTGAACCATAATCTTCAAATACAAAAACAATGTAATGAAGACCATCGATAAATGACTGGAACTAGCTCATACACTTTATGACACCAAAAAATATTTTTTGAACTGCTATAATAACATTGTCTGTTAACTAAGATTTTTACTATGTGAGCAGGTCAGGGTGGCGCTACTGAGTGAGGCCCTTTCTGTTACTTGCTGCTAAACATTTGTTATTTTTAACAGTAGGCAGGTGGTAGCTCTACTGGGTGGGCCCAATCTGTGCACCGCGGTCTGCGACCAAGAGGCTAGAGTAGCCTAAGCAACCAGACAGCACAATTAAACTAAACTAAACTAGCTAACTAAAAATAAAATAACCAACTACAATTATAAAGCAAACTTATATACACTTTATTTACAACCAACTTACAATGCAATAAAAATATAGGTGAATACGACAATGAAAATAAACTTAGAAATAAACAAAAACTATATATACGCACTACTAAATAATTAATCAACCCTACTTAACTGAACTTAACAACTCCACTAACCAAAACCCTCTGCCGCCTCTGGATCTTTGTTGCTAAATCTACAACTATTACTAACTAAACCGACCACCAAATAATCTAAATTACCCCAACACTAAACAGTAAGCTACTAGCAGCAGTAAAGCAGAACTACCGCAGACAGTTGGGCAGCTGAAATAATGGCAGTTAGGCAGCCGAAATAATGGCAGTTATTACTATTAGTAATAACTGCGGCAGACAGTTAGGCCGTAAGGCAGTTAGGCAGGAATTATAGCCTGCAATTACAAATATAAACAAACATAAGACATAATAACAAAATAATAATGAACTAGACCTAGTCTAGCACATACACATAATACAAGCATGAGGTAATTTCAATTACCTACATGTAGCTAATAAAAGCAATACCTGAGTTATTAAAGTCCCAGCCAAAACCAACACAGGTCAGGCTAGACTACAATAAACATAAGCTAGATCTAGATAATAGTGGATAAGACTAAACAATCCGCCATGACAGCGATGCTTAGGCCGCAGCCATCTTTTACATTAAAAAGTAGGACAAAATGCCAACTTAAAAGAGTGGTTATCCTAACGATAAAATATTAATAAAAATACATAGGAAACATAAAATAATAAAATATTTACACATAGACATAGTATAGGAAAGCAAAAGCATTAAGGATGGCGCAAGGGGGTGACGCTACCCAAGTCTACAGAACTTCCGGTTCCGTCAGAGGTAATCATGGCTAATTAACTAGCCAGTGATGCCATTACACTAATCAGTCTGCATCTAGACTATAGCAATAGATGCAGAAACAATCAATACAAATACAAACGAAAGAAAGCAAAAATAAAAACATTTTCCAACTTACAGGCGGTCCCAGCTGAAATTATACTACACAAAAATAACTTTATACAGGCACCACTGTCAGCACTGACCACTGGTCAAGACAAAAGAGAGCTCAACGTGGTTCCGGAGCTAGCTATAACTGGTCAGCGCGAACACATCGGAGAGCATGACGTCACGCTAATTATCTAAAACTAAACTGGACTACCGATTTCCCTAATTTGTACCTAGCCGTAAACAACAATAAAATCTAGCAAGTTACTAAAGACACGGACTACACAACATTATATACCAAATTAAACAGCATTAAAAAGAAAATCTTAAAATTTAAAATCTAAAAAAATACAAAAAGGAAGATAAAAAGTTATTTCTATTCTAAACTCATATGGGGGCTCTATACCATTTACAGACCTGCACATAAACTGATATTTAAAAATAACAACCAATCCAACGCTAATGCCAAAGACAAAAATAAGCAGAACTAAGCAGAACAGCTCTAAAGCTAGTTAACTATTTTAAAAACTACTTTTCCTCTACGAGTAAAACACAAATAACAGAAAAAGACTAAAACTAGCAGAAAGTTATAAATAGCGGAAACTACAAAATACTCAGCACTGAACTATAAAAATTAAAAAGGACACTAAATTACAAACATCATAGCCCTGGCCTATATAAATAATATAAATTAGATAAAATTAGGTCAAAAATTAGATCTAGGAGTGCCAGCTCACACTATACGTATGAATTATTCGTTCAATGTTAAATAGCTGTGTTTTTGTATGTTGCTGATTGGTTAAGTGCTTGGTTGCCGAGCCTGGATTCCTGGATTCAAATCTTGGTGAAGAATTGGATTTAGAATTTCGGGATTCCTAGGGCTCCCTTGAGTCCACCCATTTCTAATGGGTACCTGAATTTAGTTGGTCGTTGTACTGGTCACATGACAATCTGCTCTTTAACGTTGCCCAAAGAAACAGATGACCTAAACATCATCTGCCCAATAGACCCGCAGGGTTGTGATAGGAAGAACTAAACAATATCTGGATAGTAGACTATGTCTCAAATATTAAAATTAGTGACGCAAGTTATAAAATATGACATAAAACTTTTACAACAATTTAATATTGGAAATGTCAATATCAATATTAACAACTAGTTCTTTAATTTCTCCTGCAATATGTTGCAATCATTAGGCTTATTATTTGTTTTCCATCGAATTTTCTGGGGTTGTGGGTTAAAATGATTGGGATAATTTATTTTATTATTAGAATGAATATTATGTTCTAGTTTAAAGGAATAAAAAATATATATCATAAAATAACTTTTTTATTGTGGTTGTTTTATAATTTCAATATTTCATCATTGTCTAAAACAAAATCCTCATAATCCGTGACAAATTTGAGTGGAAGCTCTGAGCAGAATTTCTGTGGAAGCACATAATCTCTTCATAATACATTTCATAATATAAAGAAATCTAAAAGCATATTTGTGAAAAAAGAAAAATATTATTTGTCAATTTAATCTCAGTTTCCTTATTCTTATATTTTAATAAACATATTTTGTTAAAATTCTTATCTTTTCTAAATAAGGAGCCCTTCCCCCCATTTTAAGAATGAAGCCCTCACACTCTTACAATGACGTAAATAAATCTCGTTATAATCATCTGTAACCATACCATATTTCACATTTGAAGAAAAGAATCAAGCTATAAGAACTTAGCTTACAATAACTTTCTTAGAAACGAATAACGTGTGTTTGAATTATGGTGATTTTGTTTTCAATATAATGCAAATGAATACATATCTGTATTCATTATGTTATGTCTTTTTGATTTCTTGTTATATGTTTCATTGTACATTTTTGCTCCAATATCAATAAACTGATTTTAAGAACTATAGACCAATGAGCAATTAACTATTAGCTAGCTGATTTTATTGACAAAACTTTGCCTTACTTCTAACCTGTTAAGTTTGATATTTATTTTAACATCCATTGAGAATAATCCTTGAGGAGAAGTATATTTGAAAGCTATGTATGAATAGAATCTATAAATAGCTCTGTGACCTGGTGTCCTACTAAACAAGATCGACAGATCAACTAGATCACGCTTAAACCTGGAAGTTACGTTAAGAAACGAAGCCCAGTTTATTTTTTTCTAGCACTTGTGGAAGCACTGGTGCATTTCAAACCTTTCTGTTAGAATAGATAGTGACATCATAACTGTTCTATGCACGACAAGAAACTGTTAGTTATAAGTCATACAACATATGAATTAGATTTAGAACTCTTTAACTTTCAGCTATTAATTTCGGATGAACTATTATTAATGTTACAAATGTTGACTCCTAACACGTGATCGCCCATGCGTAACTTCAATCATGGATCCAAACATTTATATAAATCATTCATTGAATATTACGCGATTGTAGCATTAGAATTCAATTGCATTCGTACACAAGGCCAACTAAATATTGATTTTTTTTATTAAAAAACAAACAGGCCAACAACAAAAAACGTGAGCAGTATCATGTGACAACTTTACCGCCATTTTAAATATGCATTAGGCTTAATTTGAATAATTTTTAATTGAGATCACACAACAAGATACTGTAAGAATTAGGTCTTTATCAGAACTGCTCATTAGAAAAATGTCTTGAATTTTTATCAAAACATTACAGTTTGGTAATGTTATACTACAAAAGCTAAT